GGACTAAACCTTCAAAGGCAAATAGCACAGTGCTGAGCACTGAAGAGCCTTTCTGCATGGATCTAGCCACTTTGTGAAGATTATAATCTCCAAATTAAGAGCCCAGGATGAAAAGTCCTGTTTTGGTGTTGGTTTTCAGTTTGTTTTTGATTTTGTTTTGCTTTTTGTTTGGTTTGGGTTTGGTGTTTTTGTAGGTTTTTTGGGTTTTTTTTCTGTTCATAGTGGCAGCAAAAGCAGAAGGTCATAGTGTCTTTGTTGGGCAGTGGACCTAGGATGCAGAAGATCTCAATTTTCCACACTGTTCAAAACAGAACTTCTCTTCTGATGCCACCAAATCCTCCCTTGCCACCAACATGTTTTTATAAACACTGGGAGACTGACTAAGAAGTTAGAGACATTCTCTTATCCTCTGATTATTAATAATGTAGAGTTCAGACGAAGAGATAAAATTTGAGAGTAAAATAAATACAAGACTTGTTAGACAAGAGAGAAATGCAGAAAACATTAACAGTGAGCTCCTTGCCCCTTTCATCTCCATCATGTCTGAACACACAGGAAATTTCACTTGTTCTGATGGGACAGACAAAAAAATTGGGAGGAGCTATTGATTCTCTTGAAGACAAAGAGGCACTGCAGAGAGAGTCTCAACACATTAGAGGAACGGGCAATCAACAATATGAAGTTCAACAAAGGAAAATATTGGATTCTGCACCTGGGATGGGGCAACCCTAGATGTATGGACAAACTGGGGAATGAGAGGCTGCAGAGCAGTGCTGTGGAAAGAGGTGGGGGTCCTGGTCACTGCAAGTTGGATATGAGTCAGCAGTGCTCTGGCAGCCAGGAGGACCAACCATGTCCTGGGGTGCATCAAGCACAGCATTGTCAGCCAGGCAAGGTGGAGATTGTCCCACTTTGCTCTGCAATGGGGCAGCCTCACCTCAAGTCCTGGGGGAGTTTTGGGCACCATAGCATAAGAAAGACATTAAGCTATTAGGGACTGTCTGTGAGGATGATGAAGGACCTGGAGGGGGAAGCCGTAAGAGGGCTGAAGTCACATGGCCTGTTCAGCCTGGAGAAGAGGAGACTGAGGGGAGATATCATCATAGTCTTCAACTTCCTTGTGAAGAGAAGAGGAGGGGCAGACAGTGATCTCTTTGTGGTGACCAGTGACAGGACTCAAGTAAATGGCCTGAAGTTGTGTCAGGGGAGGATATCAGGAGTTGTTTCAGTTGGATATCAGGAAAAGGTTCTACACACAGAGGGCCCTTGGGAACTGGAAGAGGTTCCAGAGGAAAGTGGTCACAGCACCAAGCCTGAAAGAGTTTAAGAAATGTTTGGACAGTGCTCTTGGATGCATGTGATTCTTGGAGAGTGTGCTGTGCAGAGCTGGATTCAATGATCCTTGTAGGTCTCTTCCAACCCAGCTTACTTTGTGATTCTGTGTGTTTTAGACGCTTCAAAAACTTCAAAAACTGCTAAGTATACTCTTAGTATTTTGAATTTGGAAGAAAATTGGGAAATTGAGTACTGTGCTCATCTCTGGGGTATCCAATATAGGGAAGACATATACCTGAAGGCCGGAGCACCTCTCTTAGGGAGACTGGATGAGATAGGTGGAGTTGTTCAGTATGGGGAAGAGAAGCCTACAAGGAAAACTTAGAGCCTTTTCCAATACCAATAGCATGGTAATTATGTGAAAAATACAAATTGCCCTGTGTCATGGTTTGACCCTCGCACAATGCCAGGGCCCCCATGAAGGGTATATTTCTAAAAATGGTTGCTGTGAGACGTGACCCGAGAACAGAACAAAGCAGGCTCCCATTTGGGGATGGAGGGAAAAACACAACACTTTATTCATACAAATCTAGAAAGCAACATATACAAAGCTAAGAATGAAAACCTTCCAAATACATTCCTCCTCCCCCTCCCTTTTCTCCACAGATTCACCACCCTTCAAATAATCAATTCTCAAATCTATCAGGGAAAGAGAGGAGTCCTCCCTTGGCTCATAGGCTTCCCCTGGAAGCACAATTAAAACCTCCTGTGCTTCTGTGTCACCCACAGCCCCACACAGAGAACATCAGCTCTCATGATTTCTCCCTCCTCATGTCCAGTGCTTTCACCACTGGACATGGGCCAGGACGGTTTTTAGGGCTCCCCGTTTAAAGATGTTCTACCCACTTCCGGAAACAGCAGTCTCTCAACTTTGGGACACCAGTCCCCCCCAAATTTCACTCCCTGGGGCCGAGGGGTGTCATGAACAGAGATCTTCCTCCCCACAGAGACAGACAGCCTCCCACACCCTCTTCAGCCGTCTCTGTTCACGCTGCTGCTTCACTCTTGACTCCCGGGTGTTGCCTCCCCCTAAATACAGTCTCTGGGTCACAGGGGAAAAAAACACGGGTCTGTCCATGGCTATACAAGAAAGAGTCCAGCCCAAGGCCACTCCATCATCTCTTCCCATCTAGGATTCTTCTCTCCTCTTCCAACTTCCTCACGCTTGCCCATTTCATCTCTCATCTCTCTCTCTCCTCATTCTGATTCAGGAGGATTCAGTATTTGTAAGGTTTCCATTAGTCTACAAAGGGGTTAAAATCTTCACTTCTGCCTGTCCAGGACTCCCACAGCTGCTGGGAACCTCTCTCGCTGCATCCCCCGCTTCTGGCCGGCTGAGTTGCTAGCACAATCTCTGTCCCTCTCTCCGGGAGGGGGGGCTGCTGCCCAGACATCTCAAGTCTCATCAACATGTTCTCCTCCACCCCTGAATCTTTTGGGGCCCTGGCCTCCTCCTCATCATGGCCTCCGCCTCCCCCACCCAGACGCAGCTGGGCAGGGGAGAGGTCAACTCCACTCACCAACGCGGGATTCCCAAAGAGGAAGTTCTCTAGGAATCTCCTGCTTTTAACCTCTGTGTGTTCTCAGAGGCGTATCCAGATCCTCAGTGGCCACACCACATGCCAGTTTTGAATTTGGCCACTGATTGGCCCAACCTAAACCTTTCCAGAAACACATTTCCGGGCCAAACCACGACACACTGCTTTTGTCAAAGTTTTACTTCTTGGCAGTGAAGAAAATGTTTAAGCTTCTTCTGGCATTATAAAAGCGCTCCAAGAAGCTCAGACAGTGGTAGGCTTCACAGCCATTGTATGCTTTGTGTTTCATTGTAGACACATTGCTTCAGCCTGTAAAATTCACTGATGCCCCAATAAGGGTTCACTGAATAAAAGGTCAGAGTGAAAATTATATTGGGTAACTGTAATCAATTGTTTCTGAGACTATACGTAGAAAACTTCTTCCTTCAAGGTGTAAAATAATGGCTAACAAAGTTCATCAGAAAAATTTTCACTCCTGCTGTCCCTGAACTTTGTTTTATCAGACTGGTGCACTGTGGAAAGTTTTTATTTCCTTTAGCCATTGCCACACGTGGGACATGACATGTTCATAGCCTGATTTTTAAGGCAAATGCTATACATTTCGTTTTGGAAAACCTTTGTCTTATAGCAGAGTATAACATCACATGTTCCAGTCAATGAAATCTAAAAGGGAATGGATTTGACCTCTTTATTTGATACCATATTTTGGAGATCTGTATCCCAGTCCAACATAAAAACCATTAAATGCATCTTTTTTGATGCAATGTGACCAACAATAACAATTCCCTGGCATCTTTTTTCTTTACACTTAATTCTGTGTGTCTGCACAGATAACTGTAACTCATTTGTATCTTACAGAATAAATTTTTAAAATTCTAGAGCAGCTTTGTATTCTGAACGTCATGAAAAATAAGGAATTTTCACAAGTAAGACCTGCTAAAATCAAGTCAGAAAATTGCCATAGGTACTGCGAAATCAAGATTCAAAATTTTTTTGAGATGTTAACTACTTAATCATCTACCTTCTCCAAATCTTTTTTTTTTTCTTTTTCCTGTCAGTGAGGTAATCTTTCATTTTGCCAATAACAGCAAATACCAAAAGACTGAATCCTTGATCAGTTTGAATTTGGTGACTTTGGCTAAACAATAATATAGATTAATTTAGCTAAAGAGAAAGGAACTGGCTAGGCAGTTCTAAAATGCCACATCTTTCATCCTGTTGGAAAGAAAATGTAGGACTTTACAAAAGACACCACCTATTTAAAGATGGCTGATGAAATCTCATTGATCACTGAAATGCCGTTGATATTTTGCCACTGTATTCACCATCAGTTCCACAGGTATAGTAATCCCAAATTGTTCTTGCATGAAGTCTGAGTTCTGGATTGTCTCAGACAAAGTTAGGCTGTGGTGATAGCTCATGGATGAGAGCTTCTTCGTGTCCACAGTGTAAAGGTTCACCACCATTTCTGAATTGTCAGCCTCTTGGTGTGCTCCTGTGCCTCCCACCATGATGGGAGGATGCTGTTGGCACTGCCCTAGCCTTCACTCACTCCAGGCAGTCTTATTCCAGTCAAAAAGCATTATTTCAGAAGAAATTGTTTGCTGGCTTCTTGAATTGTCTTGTTTTCAAAAAACAGAGAGAATTTTTTCACTTGAAAAGATGCTAGCACATGCGAGTACCTGTCTGACAGTTTTCTACTATGAAATGACTAGTGCAGAGAATGTAGGGAGAACAGAGGATGTTGTTGAACTTCAGACCTACTCTGACAAAAAAAAATTAGCAAATTCAAACCAGTGGTGTTACATGGTGCCAAATTTGAACTAAATGGGATTTTAATTAGGGTGATTTTAATTAGACACACACTAAACAGGAAAATGCTTGTTTTGTCAGGGCTAGTGTGGAGGAGAATAGATTGTGGATGAATAGGAATGGGGCTGCAGCCGTGCCTCATCCCTAATGGGGTACAGATGTATAAGACAGGTGAACAGCATTGAAGGAGAAGAAGCACGGAATGCTGATGTGTATTGACTAATCACAAAAGAGGAAAAGAGCACACAGGTGTTATGCATGTGAGAAAAAAGGTATTAAAAGTTCTGGAGAATAAGAAAAAGCTGATGCTTGCCACCATTTTTAGCATCAGTTATATGTCCACAGTCACTGGTATAGGGAACTTGGATTATGGGTCTCCAGTGCTTCTAAAACCTGCACTGAAGTAGCTCCTTTCTGCACAAATGTGGTATGCTTGCTCTGGAAAATAGCAAATTTTCTGAGGCATTGTCACAGATGATTAATCTTAGTTGTTCAAGGGGCACGTCCAGCTGTATATCCTATTTTTTTCCTTTCCTTAATGTTTATCCAAAGTATAAATGTCTGATATCAATGTGAACTTAAAAAGTTTGTATTCTTTCAGGCTCTTGATGCCAACTGTCTGCTTTGTAGAAAACAAAAAGTATATTTTAAAAGTGGAATGAAATAAGGGCTTTGCTAACACCATCTTGATTCTGTGTGTTTCCTATTCATGCAGAGACAAAAGAAAGTGGTTGCTTTAGTAAGTATTTTTTCTGGTCTTGCACTATGTTCATTCATTCTGTGCTCTACCAGATGTGCTATGTTTCATTTCCAACCAGGTTTCCATCTGTCCAGAAGGCTGGACTTTGCAGGATCTCAGTACTGTGGGATGGGCTGCTACTTATTCTTCTCATTTTGAGTAAAAGGTAGGAAAGTGTGAAAGTGGAAAATTAAGTAGAAATTTAAAAAATCCAAAAACCAAAAAAAAGAAAAACCAAAGCAAACCAACATTAAAAAAACCTCAAAAAACCAAACCAACCCCCCCCCCCCCCAAAAAAAAAAAGCCAAACAAAAAAACCCAACAATATCTTCCAAAGATTAAAAAAGTGAATGTAGAGGATTGTGTGCAATATTATAGGGAGACCTTGAAGAATATATGAAATTAGGAGTTTGGTCTGAATTCAGTGAAAGATAATGAAGGGTTTTGATATGATAATCCCACTTAAATGGTCATAGAGTGGGGGCTCTATGTGTGTGTGATCTGTGAGGGGAGGAGGGTGTTTCAATATGCTAGCCAGCCAGTCCTGTTCTCAGTAAAGTGTTAGATCGGCTGTTTTGCTAAAGACAAATTTTTCACGTTCCAAATATTCTGAGAGAAAATAAATTATATGAATAGCAAGATGTGTGGTGATTTGCACATTATCCAAGCCATTGAGTTATTCCTGACTATCCCTATTCTAGTTCTTGATTTGTAGGCCAGCTATGCTCTGCAGCTGGAGCAAATTATATCAACAGAAGTGCTGATGTGACCACAAGTTGACAAAAGGACATGATTTCTAGTAGCAGAAAAGCAACTAGATTTTATGAAATTGTATCTAATAATGCTGTTTAACTCATGGATCTTGCATCTGACGTCTACTTTTTATCCAGTCCTTTCAGCAGCCCTTTGTTAGCAGTCACTCAGAAGAGGAAATAAAATGTAGCCATTGAAATAAAAATTGCTCTACGATTTTTAATAGCTCAGCTGCAAGCTCTATTGTTTTCTTTAATGGATTGTATAACTGAAGTTTTTCCTCATGACTATACTCATTTGGCTTCCCTGTTTCCAAAGTAAACTACAGTATCTTGGAATTCCAAAGCAAAGGATTCAAAGGGAGTGATGAAATGATGAAAGGGTTTTTATATGCACAGATTGCAAACTGCTGGAAATAATGTGGCTAAGGAGTCAGAAAAGTGACTGAGAGTCAAGAATTTCTGTCGTATTTCCATTTCTGACACTGACTCTCTCTGTGCCTTTGGTTATTAAACTCAGCCTTTCCAGCCCTCAATTTCTCAGCCTGAAAAGGGGTTTAACAATACCCACCCAAACCAAAGACAAATAGTGTGAGTATTTGTACCTTGAGAGTGGTGTCATGTAAAAGAAAAGCTAACTATTCCTCCATTAAATTTCTACATCATATAGGAAAGGTTCTCTCATAAGCTAGCATTTGTCCAAATCTGCCAACAGTATCACACAATTAAAGAAACAGGATGTAGAAGTAAAATAACGGGTAAAGAAAGCATTGTCTTACTGTTCTCTAGCCACCTAACCATAAGTACAGGAGACTTAAATTTCTCTTGAAGTTTTATCACTGCCTCATTGTGTAACTTTTTTCACATCTGTTTATTTCCTAGGAGACTGCCTTTGGGAACTTGTACGGAGCCTGGCACCATGGGTTTCAGCTCTAAACAAAGCAGCAATCTCACAGAAGTATAAAGAATAATGTGTGAGGGTTAGAATGGGATAAAACCCATCATTTTCTGCAGTTGCATTTGCAGTAATTTCTCTATAAAAATTTGGAGAGTTCTTGTAAGATGAAAGAATCATGTGAAACATCTAAGAATGAAATCACAGTGTTACTAGTAAAAAATGCAATTAATTTTGAGAGAGAATTGAGAGTGGCAAAAATTCATCCAAGATTTGTGAAGTCATTTTCTGCCAACTAACCCAAAGCAGCTTAAAAATTAATTGACAGGTAATATGAACATTCAGTAGTGATGAAATAATAAAACCAGAGAGAATCAATCATCAGTTCCAGCATCATCTGAATTGTCTTCCCACATCTTAAACTTGAAAGAATCTTGTGTTATCTCTATGGCCTTTTGAGACTGAATTTTTTGGAGTGTGAATTGCATATATCCTTTAAAGAATTTGGGAAAAGTTTTCTTTTTGTCACTGTCTCAGATGTGCTTGTGCCTTGTAGGCATATTCAGCAAAATGAAAAAAAAAGGTGTTATTAAATCATCAGGGGCTAAGAATTATTTCAGCTGTGGAAGATGCACAATGTACATTGCCACTGAAACAAATCATACAGTACAACCTGTTAAGGATGTAATTGAGATACATGTAATCATTAACCTTGGAACAGACTGGGAATCAGTTAATGAATCAAATCAATACCCTCTCAACTGATCCATAATAATTTGAAAGACATTAAAAATTTAACAGTTGCTGTATGTGAGATTATCATGGGCTGTAATTAACCAGCCTCTGGGAGACTATGTTACCTAGTTACCACAGGGTCAGTGTAATTTCTGCAGATATTTTGGAAAAATTATTACAGTGGCAGGTGCCAGACAATAAAATGGGTCACAAAGAGACTTTAGGTACTGGCTGTAGCTAGGTCATCTTTCCATCTCTCCATGTAGCACTTCTCCTCCTTACATTTTGCACTGTTATAGCTGCTGACTGATGAAGACGTTTCAATAGCCTCTCTGCTAAATGTATGGGTTAGGAAAAATACGGAAATGTTATCTTTATTTTAAATATTGCTATCGGTGTAGAGCTCACTGGTTTGTACTTTTTTCAAAATGTAAAAGGAGACTCCAATAGATGCCTAAAGCTGTGCAGTTTTCACAAAGAGTGAATTTCTTTGAAATATCCATTGGCCAAAGGAATAAATACAAATGAGAAATAAGATTCAAAAATACATGGGGAATATATGTGCCTAGGTGGCAAAAGTTAATGAGCCTTTTTTGTAACACTAAATAGGGTAAAAGGAGGAAAAAATGCTGTTGTTTGCCTCCACAGTGTGTATCAGTGATACCAGTGCACAGTAGGATAGTTAGCTAGCTACCACATGCAAAGCAGAAAGCAGATGGTATGGTTAGTATGGATCACAGGAACATGAGTATCTGTGAGTGTGCATGTCTTTGTATGTTCGTGTGTAAATCAGCAAGGAGTTTGACATTGACATACTCCATCAAGTCTAGTTTATAAAGAACAAGTAGTGCAACATTCTGTGCATCTGGCAACTTAACTAGCTCTGTCAATCTGTGGATACTGCTGACATTGTACTATTAGCATCACTTCCATCTGTTTTGTTTATATAGGGCTTGATTTACTTTCACCACGTGAATTGGTAGTGAGTAGAAATGTCTAAAAGTCTCTGGTTCCAATTAAACTTGTAGTGTATTGTGTTTCACAGTATTATGAAAAAAGGGGACCATGGTTGCAAAGATTGTTACCTGTTTCTTCAATGGAAATATCAATGTACATTGTAGAACACAGAGGCATGTTTGTAGATCATAAGAAGTCATTTCTCTGTAACATATTTAGTCCTTGTTCATTTTCCTATCTTCTGAGATAAGGAAATTATTTTTGAGACAGTAGTCTGTTATGGTAATTCATAGTTAGGCTAGTCAACCTGTGTAGAATGCTTTTTCCTCTTTAATATCTCCTTCCTGCCAATTGATGCTTTAAATTAAACCATGTCAATGATCTCTCTGACAGATACTGCTTCCCAGAACCACAGTAACAAAATTTTAATCTCCTTTTCCCTGTCTCCTCCATTACTATAATGCAAACAATAAGAGTGTTCTAGCTCAAGTAAAACTTCTAATTTACCCTAATTTTCTGCACTCAGCACTGACTTCAACTACCTCTAAATGAAGAAGGGAAATGAAACATATTGTTTAATTTTTGTAAAGGGTGACAGAACATGAAAATGTGTTATTCAACTGAAATAATAGGGCATACTAGATGAGTATGTTATATTAATCAACCTGGAATTTAAGAGCTTGGATACCTTCAATACATGTAATGGAATCTTTTCTGGCCCTGCACAATCAAGTCTACACTTTCATATATCATATAAAGAAACAGTCAAAATTCTATTTAGGAGAAATAATTAGTTACTTATTCAGAGGGAACACTGACATCTGTCCAAAAAAACTGGTTTAAATGATACATGTTTTCCTTAAACAGCATCCTGTACAATCCTATCTTCAAAATTATAGAATATACTTTGTCAGGAATTTAGCCATGCAACAACTGTTTACTAGAAACCCATTCAAGATGGATTTGAAAGTAGCTGTTATGAAAATACTGTGTTTTTCCATGGTATTTGTTACAATCACTAGCACTTGTTCTCACAGGGGATTTTAACTTACAAGAAGTCTTCTGGCAATACAACACTGCAGAGACAAAACAGCCCAGGAGGTTCCTATAATATGTGAAATATAAACCCCTGACATAACTGGTGAGTGACCCAAGTAGGGGAGGTAGTAGTAGTTGATTGTGGACAGAGAAGGGCCTGTGGGTGATGTGGTAGTCCAAGTGCATTCTGGGCATAGCAATGTTATAAAAATTGATTGTTTCAGTCTCAGATAAGTAGGGAGAGAGGTTAGCAGATCTGCAGCCTTGAACTTCTGGAGGGCAGACAGAGTACCTCAAGAGGCAGTCCTGAAGGGTCAAAGAGTCCAGGAAGGCCCAGCGTGTGTTAAGAAGGAAGAGCTGCAGGGGTAAGCTCTCCCCATGTGCCAAATGATGGGGCAGTAAGGAAGAAGAGTAACCTATCTGGACAGAGAATTTTAGTTTGAACTTAAGGAGAAAAGGAGAGGTTTTGGCCTTTGGAAGAAGGAACAGGCAGCTTGGGAGAACAACAAGGGTGCTGTGAGGTTATGCAGGGAGAGAATTAAAAAGGCCTAATCCCAACTAGAAGTTAATCTGGTTACTGCCATAAAAGACATATGAGAATAATAAGAAATATTTCTATATATACATTAGCATCAAAAGGATGGCTGAGTGGAGTCTCTTTATTGGATGTGAGGAAAACATAGTGACAAAGGATGAGGAAAAGGCTGAAAGGCTTCTTTGCCCCAGACTTTGCTAGGAAGCCCAATTATTCTGGGCGTACCCAGCTTTCTGAGCAAAAAAACAGGGACAGGAAGAGAAATGAAACCTCCATAATCCCAGGGGAAATGGTCAGCAGCCTGTTATGCCACTGAGATCCACAGAAGTCCATGTGGCCAGATGGAATGCTCCCTAGAGTACTGAGGGCCAGGTGGTGAATAGGTCCCAATCCAGGTGTCAAATGATCACAAGGGTTCAGTGTTGGGGCCATTTGTGGGCGTTTTTATTAATGATCGGTATTAATGGATCAAGGGCATCCTCAGTCAATTTGTGGATGACCCCAATGTAGGTGGGCATGTTGATCTGCTGGAGGGTAGGAAAGCTCTGCTGACAGACCAATGGTATGAGATCTCACAAGGCCAAGTGATGGTTTCTGCCTGTGAGTCATAACTCCTGCAGTGCTACAGGCTGGAAAGCTGTTCAGCAAAAAGGACCTGAGGTGCTGGTCAACAGGGGCTGAATATGAGCCAGTGGGGGCCCAGGGACCAAGAAAGCCAATGGCATCCTAGCTTGGGTCAGCAATAGCATAGCCAGAGGTACCAGGGCAGTGACTGTCCCGTTGTACTGGGCACTAGTGAAGTGGTACCTCAAGGGCTGAGTTCACTTTTGGGCCTCTCACTGCAAGAGGGACATTGAGGTGCTGCTAAATCTTCAAAATCTTGGAAACAGCTCTCCCAGAAGAATGGCATCATATTTGTTGCTAATAAGTCAGAATGAGCTATCCTTCTTTGTCCAGTGTTTAAAAATGCCACAGTAAAAATTACTGCAGTGGAAAAAAGAAGAAAATCCACCCTAAGCCAAAGATCTGCTGAAGATCAATAGATCTCATTAAGTCCTCTTTCAGATATCAGATGTTCAGCCTGAGGTGAGTGGCTATGTCATGGCTATGATAAATTTGGAGATCTAATACTCAAGTGCAATATACTGACCTAAATTGGGAACAACAGGCAAAGTACAGGAAGCCTGGATTGCACACATTCAGATATTTAAACAAGATTTTGATTTTCAAAGTACTTAAAAAAAAATTCTACACTTGAAGGCACCCAGATCTCCTACTGGCTCCGTTTCAGGCAGTGCATTTTGGTGTGATATTTTGGTGGTAGGTCATACTCTTCTGGTTGCCCGGTATCACTCCAGGCAAAATCCAAATTTCCTTGAGTTTCTTCATTTAGTCATTATTTCACTTCAGCTATTTACAGAAACATTTCCGCAGGAAAGACAGCCTCTGCTCTGACTATCAGATCATAACACAGTTATTTAATGCTCTCTCCATCACGTCACCATTGATTGTACTGGGGTGGAGAGAGAAAGCAGATACTCATTGGTCTTTACTTCATAAGCTTGTTATTGATGCTTTAAGCAATGGAGGCAAAAATTACCATCTGCTATTTAAGAATGAATCCTGCACCCTATCTCAATAGCTATCAAGAGAATAAAGAAGGGAAAAATGCATAGTATATACAATTTATAGGGCCTCTCTCCATTAGCACTAGTCTTTTCCCTTTTCCCTTTCCTTAAAACATGTAATAGAAAAATATAGTCTTACTGCAACATTCAGGAACCTGATTTTCACATGTACCTATGCAGGGTGTTCAGAATCAGGGTAGAATGTTGTATCTTTATATATACATTT